GGGGGGGGGGGGGGGGGGGGGGAGTTATGATGACTGAGTGACAGGGGCCATAATAAATTTGAAACATATTTGAATTGGGTTGGGGGCCCAAAATGATGTAACCAACAAAATATGAGACTTTTGGCATTTTTACTTTTTTGATTGCATTCACAGATCTTTGTGGGGACCTGAAAAATGGTCCCCACAACGTCAAAATAACAGGTTTTTATTCCATTGCGCAGGACATTTAGGCCCCACAATGTAATATAAACAAAATCCACACACACTGTGGCTGGGCTCCATGGACTTCCAGCTCTCACTCCTCGTTAATAATTCAGCCTCCATTTTGGTCGGCGACCACACTCTATTAGCAGGGAGGCACTGGGGAAGAACTGGGGGGGGGGGAGACCAGACATCTCCATGCTGGGAGCTGTGAGGCCTCCTCGCTGGCCTACGCCTGCAGGAGCTGCTGTGAGGATCCATGAGGGATCTTATCAGGGAGCGGGTGACCCACGGGCCAAGACACGTGAACCCAAAAGGACTAGTACCGTTCCCATGGGCCATGGCTGGTGTTTAGTGTGGGCAACACATGGCCACTGTACACCCAGAGCCCAAATATCGAGGTGTGAGAGGTCAGCCAGTGTGGAGAAGGATCTGTGCTGACATTTCTGATCGTAATCTCTCCAGATTCCACCTGGGCTCTGCTGTTGTACCCTAGACTTTCAAAGAGCCAGGGTTTACTGAGTGTTTGGACAACCGCTGCTGTGGGACCATCTACCTCTATATCCCCTTACTGGTTTCCACCGATAAATGTAGCAGGAGCCACAAAACTTCTTTAAGTTGATTAAAAGATTTCAGGGGCCAAATATTTTAGCTTTGACTCTTTGCTCCATTAGAACAGTGTGGTTATCATTATTATTCACATTTATATATGTGGGGTAACATTTTGTGCACTGCGAAGAGACGGAAGACAAATGTAAGCACATTCTTTTGACGGATTTTATCGCGGGTGCGTTGGGTGGTCGAGTCACTTCAGTTGGTGAAAAGCGATGTTAACGACAGAAAAAAATAATCAAGTTTGTGGAAGCAAGACAATCTAAACAAGAAATCAGAATGAGTTACATATATGTAAAAATAGTAAAATGTGACCGCAAAGCATTGCATAAATGACTTGTTTTCAAAATTGTCTTTTGCTTCTTAATGCTGGCTGTCTATCCTAATTTTTGGAGGACACTATGGTCAAATGCATCTGCCCCCCCCCCCCCAACACAACAATTACCTCCAGTCTGTCCGAGTTGAAATGGTCTAGAACCACCACTGCTTGTGTTTCAAATCGTGTTTTTTTACATGCATATGAAAGGATAATTTTAGTATTACCGCCAGACGGGTTCAAGACAAGGATGAACTATTAGTTGTGTATTAATAATCGTTTTTACAGTGCGTTAACGCACCAACATCGCAGCCTATGTACACTGTATATGCGAACTGCTGTTTTATGTAGTCAAATGTAAAATTTGGTAGCTTTAATGCAGCACAATACTATCCCGCTGTCATCCAGCTATTCAGATTAAGATCTGCTTATCCGCTTGTATTTCTAAAAAGTGTTTCTCACATTGTTCTCTTCAACCATTTTCCCCGGATGATTCCCGGGATCAATTTTTCCCTTTCTTCGCATTTTCGCGTTTTCTCGTCCCCAATTCTTATTGTTAATATTTATTTGTTGCCTATGTCTGATCGGGTTATTTACTCGCTCTTGGCCACCCAGCGGGCACTCCCCCTGTGACCACGCGTCACGTTTGCCGTACAGAGGCGCATTAAAGGGGGGGGAAACCGGAGGGAGCTACTGGGAGCCTCCTGTACGGCAGGACCTGCGCCGCCGGGACCGGGAGGAGGGGATATAGCGGCTGGAGAGGCGCAGCTGGACGGGCGGATTTGGGCAGCGCGCCCCTATGTAGTCTGATTCAGTTTAACGGAGGTGGGGGCGAAAAAAGGATTTACTCTGAGGCTGCTAAAGTCCGTTATCGTAAAGAGCTGGAAACGGAAAAGGGGGTTTTGCAAAGGAAGGAAGCCGGAGAGGCGAATGCTTCGCTACCTGGCATCGCCTCAGGTTATACTCTCCAGTTAATTTCAGTATTCTTTTATCCATAAAATAGTGATCGCGTTTTTCTTTCTATGTAATTATAAACTTCATCGGCACCGCTACAAACTCTACTTTTTCCTGCAAAACAATTCCAGCTGTCCAATGAATGGAGTTGCTTTTTGCCTTGTTGGAATTCCACCCTACAGAGAAACAGAAGTAAGTCCGCTCGCGGAATGGTGTGTGTGTGAGAGAGAGTGTGTGTGAGAGAGTGAGAGTGTGTGAGAGTGTTTGGGAGTAAGTATGAGTGTGTAAGAGAGTGTTTACGCACGTATGTGTGACAGAGATTGTGTGTGTATGTATGGGATCGCTTAGTCTCGGGGTGTGATCAGTCGTCCCGACGTCAGATTACTGGACCCTGCATGCGTTTGTCTGCGTAAATGATGCGATCCAGGGAGCGTGATGTTCCAAGGAGCAGGATGCGTTTAGACGATCAAAGCGCGTCGCCGTGCACACGCTGTCGGTCCGGGGCGGTATATATCCCCCTTCTTATCTCTGTGTGGCCTGTTTTCATGTTACCATATTAATAGGATATTTTATCTGCGTACTCGATGCCGAGGCTGTCAAGCTGTTTTCCAATTGCCGGGGTGGAAAGATTGTCGGGATGGAGGAATGGTGGGGAGCTGTCAAACTTTGGTCAGACAAGTTAGGGATTTTATTATTTATTTATTTTTTTACATAAAATGTCACTGCTATACAAAATCAGATCTGAATCCCGTTCATGAGTTTCTCAGTTTCTTGGGAAGACTAGTAATAAATCCACAGAACACGCTCGCTCTTCCGGCCATAATGTGCTGTATTTGTTTAAAAGCTACTCTCCGGCCGGCCAGCATTTCCTCGCCCCGCAGCATGTCTCGGCATTTCGCTTAACTTGCATCCTTCCCTTTCCTTCCGCCGAGGGAACTATCTGCTCGGTCCGTTCAAGGACCGGCTTTTCTATCTTTCGTAGCCGCGGAGGCGATCCGTCACGCCACTTAGACAAATCTGGGCTTGTCCAAGCAAACATCCGAGACATTCGTTGATTAAGACGGTACAGTGACTTCTACAGAAGTGTTTTTTTTTTTTTGTATGTTACTCATACGTGCCGCAGTAACACGTATGGCTGAGACCCGACACAGACATAGGCTACAATAAGTTAATAATTTAATACACTATCATCTCACTCTGGACTTGCGTAGACCAATATTTGATTCGACTTTTGGCTCAGACGATATCCAAATGACTTATCAAAGCGATTTATTAAAATGTTACTTTATATAATTAAATGGAAATTTGTATCAATGTGTCCACACTAGCAGGCGTGACCATCAGTGCTGTGGTGCAGTTGTTTGTGTTAGTGAAGTTGTTTGTGTTGTTTATGTCACTGAGCAACCTAGTTTGATTGAAATGTTATTTAATTATCATCACCGGAAAAAATAGAATTATTATCTTTAAGTATACATTTCTTTCAGGGTTAGTCATGTAGAATCGTTTACTATCCAGACTTTTCCAGCGGCCTGACTGAAGTTCTGCAGTGCATTGTGGGTATGAACAGAAGGTTCTCAGCTTAGCTTGAATGATGGTGGGGGGTTGTACTGAATCCAAATTATTCATCATGTGTTTTTAATCAACCACACGTGGATGCCCTTTGAGCACCGAGTCTAGAGCACAGGAAGTTCTCGCCTGCCGCGGAAAGGCCGATGTACCGCATCTTGTCCTTATTAGGGTTGCTGGTTGAAATCACAAGGAAATCTTAGGGAAAGAGGTGAGTTTGTCTCTTCTGGTTGCTTCCCCCCCTTCATTGGTCTTTGCTTGGTTCAATATTGCTCCTGCCCCATCCTTTTCCTTAGGTACTACACAGCAGTCACAGATGTGAAACTTTCAGACCCGGAATTCTCCGCAGCTGGCCACACCTATCCCGTACCCACAACAGAAATTTCCCAGGGGGCTGAGCTTGGGGGTGAAAAGCAGTATGTGATGTGTCAGACATCAGGTGCTCAGAAAAGATGAACAGTTTCAGTTTAACGCAACGTTTTGTCCAGGGGTCTGATCCCCTTGCTATGACCGTGAAGACCAGGTGGGAGTAGTGGTGTAGAATTTCTCACAGGTGTGAGCTGGGAAATCTGGGACCGAACCACAGTACGGCACTGTCACAGCCCTATGACCAGGAGTTCATTAACACCCGAGCTGTGGCGGAATAGCAGAGGAATGCCGACATTCCTGAGTGCCCCAGCCTTGAGCTGACAGCTGTGTACGCACACACACACACACACACACACACACACACACACACACACACACACACACACTGGCATTTTTATCTTTGTGGCGATTTCCCGCTAACTCTTTCTAGTGTAATTAATTATTCCTCAGCCTGTCTCAATAAAAAAAGTCTGTACTCTGTAACGCCATTCTTCTGGGGTCTCCTCCTCGATATTCTTTCCCAGGATACACAAATACACTGAATTGCCATTCACTTTGGTTGTTTATCTACTCTTCCTGGGGTCTGTCCCTGTCTGCCTTAACTTCACAGACATGTGTCGATGTTAGCGCGTGACCCTGGGTGGTGTAATTCCAGTTTTCGGCTTCCTTAAATGTGCTGTGTCACAGTCGTCATGTGATCTGGTTAAATTAACCACAGGAAGGCTTGGATGTGTTTTTGGCCATATTGGACCTGTTCCGTTGACTCTGCAATGTTAATCCCTGGTGAAAATCGGGTTGTGTGCTAAGGGCTCTCCCTTTCACGAACGAGCACTCTCAAGAACCTCAACGGCGCCATCTCCATGGGTCATGTAACCATGTTCTGCGGGATGACTTGTTGTGACCTGGATTCCGTGGCAGTACAACTACTCCAAGGTTCCATGGCCGCTCAAGTTTTCGGTATAAAATGTGAAACTCCTTAATGGGACAACGAGAACACTATGAATATGGCCAAGAATTTCACAGAACAGAATTCCCCCCCCCCCACCCGTGAATAATCACGGTCTTGAGAAGAGCTCTAACGCCTCTTAACTGACATCATCAGTGTTCCAGGCGGATGTGCTGTGTTGAATAAGGGGTGTATGTATGTGTGTTTGTGCGTGGGGGGGGGGGTGTTTCAAATTAAAGAGAGAAAACATAATTGTGATGTAGAGGTCAACCGAGTTGTGCAAGCAAGCAAGCGGGAGAGAAAGCGAAGAAGCCTGGTAAGGAATGCGGCCGTCCTGCAGACAAGAGGGGTGAGGCGGCGTCACTGAATGGCTTCCTGTGTCCCAGGCCTGGTCGGGCGTGGGTGAGCCTTGGGTCCCAGCTACTTGTCAACAGCGGCAAGGAGGGGAGACAGGCGGACAACTGAGGGACAGACATGGAGACGAGGAGGGAAACCGGGGCTATGACGGCTTGGGGGGAGGGGGGGGGTGTAGTTATTAAGGTGAATTTCACGCACAGTGCGTTTTGCAACGTAAACTTTTTGGAGGGTGGGGGTGGGTTTTCCTTTTGGGGTTTCCAGTTCTCTCGAACTTCGCTGCGATACCAGTTCTCCCCCGTCCACCCTATCCTCCATCACCTTTCAGCCCCTGGCTAGGTTGTATGACACCTTCCGTAATGTTGTTTTTGGCCCACAACTGGACAGCTATGCAGGCTATGAGGTTCAGAATTCAGGAGAAATCAGCATTTCTCATATTCATATTTGGCCCAGCACTCACACAGGTTTCTCCTTTAGCAGGACAGCAGTCTGATTGCAGTGGATAATTAAAAGTAGCGCCAAGAGGCCCCGAAGACGTCTAGAGTGCTCCTTGATGGTTAGCCGATGGCTAATGCTAATATCGCAGATAGTCACGACACTCTTTTCCCGCAAAGCATGGCGCTGCTTTTCCGAAATCTCTGATGCTTTTGCTTTGGTAGCAGCATCCCTCACTTTTTTATGGGATGTTTTACTAGAAGGTTCAAGCTTAAGGAAAATGATGCCTACTAGAGTACCCCCCCCCCCTTGTTTCCAAGTTTAGTGATACTACTTGAAACTCAATGTCCACCTCTGGAAAGTGGTTTGGTGCATGTCCTGTTCACCAAAAAACCACATGCAGAGTGCGATTCAAGTACGCCGCCCCCAGACTCTTGCTCTCCGTGTTCCTCGAGGACACAACAGAGCTCCCTGTTGTCAGGAACAATGGCTCACACACACGCCACCACCATTCCACGACCCTCAGAGCTTTGTCTCCGCCCCCCGGCTCCCTCCTGCGTTGGTGCCACTGCATGCCAACCCCCCCCCCCCCTTGGCAGTCCAGCCATCTGGATCCCGAAACAGCCTGTCCCAAAAAGCAAGCTTTTATTTTTTTTCTGTAATCTGAAAGCGTGTGATCTTCGCTGTAAAGTTTTCCGACACTACTTGCTGAATCTGGGATGACTGTAAGGCATGCTCGCCCCCCCCCCCCCCCCCCCACATCACTACCACATGAGTGTCCTGCTGAGGGCTTTTCCCAGCCTAAGGGTATCCTGAGCACCCAGGAGACTGGCTGGCTCAGGTGAAAAGTTCTGGTCTGGCACTAATGTGTCTAATGTGCATAGTAAATGGTCTTAATGGGCTGAGAGTACAGCTCCCAGCGCACGCCCCAGAGTGAGTCCTGGCATTGCTTCTGTCCTGCTTCGGTAACGGCACATTTGGATGCAAACAGATCCAGAGAATGCTGTCTGGTCATGGGCAGCGATCATGGAGGAATGACCCAGCCCTCTGGGTTCATTCAGCCCCCTCGCACATCACTGTTATTCTGAAGAGCCAGTTGAGACAGGGGTTGCAGGGTTACTGGGGGCTGATGGGATATAGGTGACAGTGCACCGATAAGGCCAGAGAGAGGCCCAGTCGGGTATCCTGCATGCACCACTGACCAGTAACACATTCCTCAGGCTGTGATTCCGTTTGTCCCTGTTTGGTTGACCTGCACCTCCATATATTTTCTACACTAAGCCACTATTCTACTACCTGTCTGTCCCCCCCCCCCNTATAAACTGCTGAACATTCTGGACTTTATATTGTTCTTGCTTAATGAAAAACATTCTATCTCCAAAAATCTGTGATTTCGAGAGTGCGAAAGAATGCATGCAGATTTTTTTTACAAAGTAAATTTGTAACAATGTAATGAGACACCCTTAGTACTACAAATAGAAAGCTGTCTTTACGCAGCCATCAGCGAGCGGTTTAATGTTTT